AGCTAACACAATTTTCTTAACACATAGAAAACTTACTTTAGCCACTAAACTTTAAAAGCTAAGCTTTCTTATTTTGTGACAGATTTTTTAATTGTAAACATATTTCCTTTTGCTTGTCTTTATCAATTACACGTACCTAACGAGTAATTAAGTGAAAACGTTTTAAGAGCCTGTAAGGTGTTGGACTAATGGATATTGTAGTCCATTGTAAGTAAGATAATATCGCTGAGATATCGAGTACGTTAAACACAAATACTATTGAACCACAATTTTTGGAAATATGCTGATTAGATAGGCAAAGTAGATCCTAGCACTGATGTCCCTGCGTCTACATAACAATTAAAATTATAATTATTTATGTTTGTTACATACTTTAAGTTTTTTTTAAATTATTAATACATACAAATTTAATAAAAGAAAAGTTAGACCGACAGCTGACTAAACTTGCCAAACCATTTCTTTAAACAATGCCAAAAAAAAACTAAAAAAATGTAATTCGTTTTTTCTTCAAAGGCTAAAATAAATTAAATTACCAACCGTTTCTTAAACGCCTAGGAACGATTATACAGAACACTGACCATTCCTTTTTTCTGAGGATATCGATTATATAATGAGTAAAATAAAATATTTGGACCTTATACACTTAGTAGAACTCCGCAGTAATTTAAATGGGTCCATAAAAGAGTGATGAGATGATCCGTATTGTTCCGCAATACAAAGTGTAAGTCTAATAATACCAATAATACTTACATCCCAAACATAATTTTGGACCACAGCAGACATAGTACTTTTCTTTTTCAGGAAACAAACCCTAAGTGTACGTACTAACGATTTATATTTATTAGAAAAATTACTCTCAGAGCTCTGTTCAGTCAGTTACATTTTCTGTCTTACCTTCCATAGTATTTGTGAGCAGTGCACACCTACTCAACCGCTACGTAGACGTGGCAGACAGAGCAGAGTCAACGCAGTCGAGGAAGACCATGGAGGGTTTTAATTTTTCCTCTTTAGTTTCTTCGTCGGGACGCCATCAGAATCTGAGGGGAAGACTGTAACACGGCAAACCAAAATATGTCATAACTAGCTGCTTGGCCCGGCTTCGCGCGGTTAGTGTATCCATTAAAAAAAAAAACACATTTGGAGCAATCGTTCTAAATATGCGGGTACAGAACATACATTACGGCAATTCATTTTTATTGATATGTATAGAAAGATAGATTAGGTAGGCATAATACATTTGTGTCTGTGAAACCATGGCAATACACATTAGTTTAGTAGTTGGCATACTGACAGCAGCGCCACCTACCGGGTCCAATTGTATTTTTTAAATCATCCAGGAAACCATCGAAATACCCATATAAAATTTCAACCACACAGTTATGTGAAAAAGATAAGTACGAAAGGATAATTCTTACTACCCGTTGTCCTATTACTCGTTTTCCCGTAGGAATGAAGCATTTTTCCGCGGTAAAAAGTAGCCTAGTACAAGTAGGCCAAAACCTCCTTTTTGAGGAGAGGCCTATGTCCAGCAGTGGACTAGTAAAGGCTGTTGATGATGATGATGATGAAAAAGTAGCCTATGTTCATCAGGGATAACGTCGGTTTCTAATAGTAAAATATTTTTTTAAATCGGTGCAGTAGTTTCGGAGCCTATTCAATACAAACAAACAAACTTTCCTCTTTATAATAATAGTTATCATCATCATCATATAACATATAAATAGTTGTCATCGGCACCGACAGATGGCGTTGGACAGATCAATTCTGCGTCGCAGTGTTAAGAGTCTCCGCAGGTGAATGACCTAACGAAACGAAGCTAACTAAGTTTTTATAAGGAATCTTGCGACAGGTAATCAGATACCGATTTATGCTATGTGAATATCACACCGGGATTTCTTTACCTACGTGCACGTGACGCTTTCGTTGTTAACCGTTGGACCACCTTTTCACAAAGTAAAGTTTTTTTTAAATATATATAAATATACCTCACAAATTGGGAATTGTCTTATTAATGAATTATAAAAACTATTCACTTATCATTGTCAGTATCACATTCAGGGAACGTTTACTGCTAAAATACTTACTTTTACTGTCAATTTTCATATTTAATTACCTATTACTTTACTTACTTTCATTCTGAATAGTTCACTCTTTACTCAATGCTGCAACTCCATCGATAGTGATATTGGTTCCAGGAAACATCCTTCCTGATAGAATAACTGGCGTGATTTTTTGATTCTGCCTGTAATACTAAATTTCTTGTATCTTCGATCAGCATAATTTAATTTATTTTTCGTAATTTTACTAACTGGCGTTTAATATAGTATGCACACTATATAGTATATGTAGAATACGTTACATATTTTGCGATTCCTATTCATAGAAACAAAAGAAAATAAAATGATGAGAATGTTAACAATTGGGTGCGCTCAATACCAACTTTCCCTACTATAGATCATACCAAACTTTAAATTCAGAGCCTAGTATTATCATTTAATTTATATTTAAATTATAAAATTTCTATAATTTATTAAGATACGTAATGTACTACGTAACTTTGTAGTTTATAGCCAATTATATTGCTTTTAAATGCATGTAAATTTGTTAAACTCTGAAGGTAGTTTTTGACCAAACCTACATACGTCGTGGGTTACATCATTGAAATAATACATACAATTTACTTTAAATTCTTAATATTTTATTTAAACTCTAGTATACTAATTACCTAATTACAAATAAAACAGTAGACATCTGATAAAAAAAATACAGTTAAATCAGTCCAATACTCTGTAACCGCTCATCGCTGGAAACCACGATTAAATGTCATAGCACGAGAGCTAGAAGGATTCCTCCGTTTCATTCTGGATAAAGTTGCGACCAAACTGTAACAGACGGGAAATAAATAAATAAAATAAAACTTTACTCTGTAAAAAACACAGCATACAACTTATGCTGAAGGAGAAAAAAGCAAAGAATACATTTTAATTGATTTTGAGGCCCATAACTATTGACCTGTAGTACGTGCAACACTAAACTGACTGCACTACGCTATCTGTGGTTATAGTCAGATATGACGTGGCGCCGCTTGCTATGCGCTGCTTGTCATGTCATGTATGATACGAGTAATGAATTTGGTAAGTAGGCGATATTGTAAAAATAACTTAACGCTATTGTAACAAAGACAATACAGAAAAACCAATAAAAAACTATATTTCATTTATATTAGACTACAACTAAAACTACTTGCTTACTGATATTATTATTCCCATTATCTTACTAATTATCATCTATTTTCTATTTTAGGTTTTCAAAATCTTAAAAGTATATAAAGAGCAAAGAGTATAGAGCCATAATTTACTGTTCCAGCTCACTCAACCCTCTATTAGGAGCAGAACCAGGGCAGGAAAAAGCAGATCAACGTGACCCATGAGTTGCTACACAATGCTGGAATCACCTGTTGATTGAATATAACCTCAAAGGTATGTAAATTTGTTACTGGTGTTTTTGTTGTTCGAGAATGTATTTTTTTAGATGCATTTTAAAAAAGGATATTGTTTTTAGTTCCCTAATTGGCGGTGGTATTGAGTTCAAGCATTGTGTTGCTGCATATTTAAAGCTACGAGGAAATGCTGCTGTCCTGTGTCGTGGTATACTGAGTGCTCTGGCTGATGGTCTGATGGAGTATGAGAAGTGGTTATATATTTCTTATATACAAATAGGTGGGACTGCTATTCTTAACTAAATGGTATTCTTCCATTCCGAAAAAGACACAACAGTAGCCGGATAATGTAAAATTTACATAAGCAAGAGATGACGTTGCAATTTAAAACATGCCGCATAGGTTCAGATTTTCTTTCGAGAGTACATCTGAAGCTCTGGTGATAGGACTCCGAGAAGTAAAATCTCGGAAATATGAAAACTCGAATCGAAGTTTGTGGTGGTTAGGTTATCGAACAAGACCTGTCGCCGCTCTTCCTCGGGATAGGGCCTTACCAGGCGTGGCGTCAATCCGGGGGGGGGAGCTGAAATAACATAGTTTGGGTCCTCATCAGAGTAGGGCTCCTGAGACCGGCCGTCTGGGTGGTTTTTAGTGGTAATATCACATACTCCTGGCTTCTGCTTCTCCGAGGAGTCGGAGATCCGAAGGGATTTTCCACCCCGCCAACAAAAAAAAGGTTATGTTGTAAAATCTGGCATCTCATCGAACACCATCGGCCACATCATATCATCTACGACGAAATCTAATCAACTCTAGCCAATTGATGAAATCAATTTACAAGGAATCACTCCGACAAAATACAAAAAAAAAGCGATAGGAAAAAAATCAACAATATCAAAAATATAGAAACTGTCAGCAGAATCGTCATGCCACTTTAATATTTAGTAATAATTACCATGTCAGCACATGGTAATTATTACTAAATATTAAAATATTCTGATATCACCAGTTCCTATATTGATACGAGTCTCCGTGACTAAGCTTAATGCGCCACTGATATAAAGAAATTTCTGAACAACACTTTGCTACAACATTGAAAAAATATACCGAATATAGTTAACTTAAAAATTGGAAATTCACCTTAAACAAATATGAGCACAACATAGATAATTTTCGTTTACTTCACAAATAGGTACCTATTTATTTTCTTATCGAGTGCTAGTAAAATAACGGTGAGGTAATACTTATTCTACAATACTCCAATATTCTACACAATATTCCGACCACGGAATATTGTGTGGGAATTTATTTAGCTTCCCATGTCTTTTTTTTTTTGAAAAACTAATTATTTGAACATATCCACAAAAAATAATTATAGCTACTCTCTAGAGATATTATATGTAATATCGGTTATATTATCTTAGTTACTGCGAATGATATCTTATCCTCGATGACATTATGAATAATTGCGGTTGAGGTATTTGAAGCTTAATTTATAGAGATTTCGGGTCTACTAGCATACACACATGCTCAAAACTGTTTTTCGTTATAAGTCATAATAATGCGCGAAGTTTTTGTTCTGTTATTAATGGTGTCATATGCATTTCCGTGTAAAAGATTTACATTTGAAGAAGGCTTTGACGAGCAATTTTCATCGGAATTGGGGTTTTGTTCAAATATTGGTTTGACATGGGCTATTGGGACTTATGAAAGTATAAACATGGAAGGTTTCCACGAGCTTAGTACACAGTTTATATATCCGAATGAGCAAATTAGCTGCGTCTCATCACCGTCTTATGATATGCTACCTGGTGGTACTATTGAAGTGAACGTGTTTATGGGTAATCATTTGGCTAATGATCTAATACAAGTTATGGTATTGGATGAACACAATGCAGATGCAGGCACAGCTACCCAATGGGGTGCTGACTTTGCGGAAGGCTGGGACACTATTCGAATTACCATACTAGGCAACTCACCGTTCAGAGGCCTTGTAAGTATTATTTTTTTGTTTTACTTTGTATCATACTAAATTTTTATTTTATAATATAAAACTATTAGTAGTGTTACTATATCGATATTCCATTGAAAGTTAATTTATCATTGTTTACAACAGACATGCTTGCGTGATAAATAGCTACGATAAGAATGATTAGAGAGAGAGTTGATTTATCCTATGAATTGTAGAGATAACTATCGTGTACTACAATACTACTATAGGCAAATTAATCAAAATAAGAACTAATAGTAAACTAACCTAATAATTTCTATAAAGTATCGAAATGTCAATATATCCTAAACATAATCTCTGTTACTCTTCTGCGTTTGTTTATTAGTAAATAAAACTTCAACCAATTTATAATAACTAATATAATAGTCACTAACCACTATCATGTCCGCCGATGTACAAAAAGGCATAAAGTTTGAAATAAATAAATGATTAATTCTATAAAAATTTAAAGGATAAAAAATTTGAATATCTTCCTAGAAAGATCTCCAATATTCAATAACTATACAACTACCATTTGATATTTTAAGTTTTTATGCCATTATAAATGCTCCTAAATTTTCAACACTTTCCTAATGGACTTCGCAAAAACCTACTCGAAATATCCATACACAATAATAAAAATAAATAATGTATTAAACGCCCAATTTCTGCAAACAATAATTTGGGCAAGTCTATTTCAATCAGCCGAGCACTTAAAATATAACCTTAATAAGAAAATAGTGTTAGTTGCACTGGCCATTGACACAGTTAGACGGTACAACCCGATAGAAACCTCGAATCGAATATTTGTAAAATCTATCACAAGTTAAATTAACATCAGCAGCATCACATCTGTCGCGAAAGATGAATTTATGTTGACTTCTAATAATTTGTTTTTAGTCTAAATAGCCGTACTTTTCGTCTTAATTATTATTATCTTCTGGTTAACTGTCTGTTAGTACTGAAATCTGAATTCATGTCTCTAATGTCTAAATTCTTAAACTTAAGTTTGGATAATGACGAAGATATTAGATTTTTCGTCTTGTTACCGACGCTTGCAATGTATTCACACATTTGCTACCTTGTTATTTAGTTGTTCTGTATATTGCGCTTGCTATAGAACATCAATTTATTAATACTTAAAATTTCATTAATTCCTAGTTCTACTAAGACTAAATATAAATCAATATGTATACGCCTATATATCCATTAGGCATTAGACAACTCTGTAGAATATATGCTGTGTCGCAGGGGACTTTAGAAACATACATGAAATGGACAAAAATAACACCCAAATTCAGAACAACAATTTGTGGATCACACAAAGTGTCGTCCCATGTGGGGATCGGACCCACAACATTCAGCGTACTACGCCATCTGTGCAGTCAATGTCAGTCAGTCGTGCATTGTCAGTGCACAATAAATAAGTTTTTGTGATTTCACCGTACCGTATTTAAACGTACTACATAATAATAACAATACGAAATAAAAAAAAGAACAATCCCCACTGAATGAAAAACATACATACAAGTATATTATGTTTCAATATCTTTGAGTAGTTCTGAAAGAGTGTGGTGATAATAAAATATTAAAGGAAGGAAGCTATTAAAAGAATATCACATACTACTAAATCCAAGGCGACGGCTAGTGAGCTCTTGGGAAATTCATCTTCACATAGCACTTTGGATAATATCATCAACAGCCTTTAACAGTTCACTGCTGGACATAAACCTCTCCTTAGAAAGGAGGTTTATGCCGACTATAGCACGCTGGCCAGACGGGTGGAGGTGTAGGCTGGTATAGGATTTGTGTCAAGTTCTCTCTGCAGTGCTGTTGTTCTGCGTAGTTTTTTCCCTTACTCGGCTCTTACGATACCCACGGGATGAATAGGGGCGGTGACACTCTGTATTCTTAATCCGTCACTACACGGACCATATATAAATAGGATAACATAAATAGATATTTCATAATATACCAGGACATCTGTCTGAAAATATCAATCAACACTGGCGAACCGATACCTCAACCATCGCAACGTGTCGTAGAATCCAGAATTAATTCCTTTGGTTTATTGAGCGTTGATAAGGAAGAGATAGAACGTATTTTTATCAATTTGAAAGCGTACCGTAGGATGCGACAACATATCAAATAATTTCTTAAAACAGTATAAAAACGTATTAGCAACCCCATTACCGTATATTTTTAATATTTGTTTAACAGAAGGAGTTTTGCCAACTATCTGACTCTGGTAGAGACTCTGTCAATTATTATCGACCGATATCGATATTGTCAGCAATTTCAAAATTATTAGATAAAATCATTAACTCCATACTGACCGATTATTTGGAAAATAATGGTGTACGATCGGAATTTCAATTTGGCTTCAGGTCTAGCAAATTCACCAGTTCTGCGGTTAATGAACTCACAGACTACATTGCACGAAATATAGACAAAGAAAATAAAACAATTGGCGTTTTCCTCGACCTTGCTAGAGCCCAAGCGCATAGGAAAATGCAACTATTTCAAGACTATCTCACGGGACGATATCAGTGTGTTATGATTGGCTGACATGTTAGTTGTGACCTACCTGTTAAGCAAGGAGTTCCCCAGGGGAGTATTTTGGGACGTGTACTTTTTCTCATTTACATAAATTACCTCCTTAAAATAAACCATTCAGTGGAAATATCAAAGCATATGCTGATGATACAGCGCTACTTTTCTCAGCAAACACTTGTCAGGAAGTTTTTAATAGAGCTCAAATTCCAAAAACGATTTGACCCTAAATGCGGAAAAAAACAAATGTATACTCTTTTCTATCACGAACTCTAGCCAACCATCATGCAGTTTTAGTGTAACGGCTCACACTTGCTCTTCCTTGAACTCAGAATTATGTTCCTGTAACCCCTTATCCCGAACTAACCACATAAAGTATCTTGGAATAGTTATAAATAATAACATAAACTTTAAACTCCATGTCGAACTGTTATCTTCACGTGTTAGGAAGCTATTTTATGTATTTAAAAATCTCCGTCATGTTACTGGCCCGATTCTGTTAAAGCGAATCTACACTGCTGTATGTGAATCAATACTGGCCTACTGTATTACATCTTGGGGGGGGGACCTCTAAATATATTCTCATGCCATTGGAGAGTGCTCAAAGAGCAGTACTTAAGGTGTGTACCTATCGTCCGCTATTTTACCCTATACGGTGTTTATGCCGGACGTGTGAAATTTTGACGGTTCAGCTACTTTTTATTTATCACACGACATAAAACAACATGAACTACTGAAGTATGATTCTATTATGGTATCTACTACCAGGTGTATTAAAATCTGTGGAACTTCTCGCTTCACTCATGCTTTTACACAAAAATATTTCTGCTTTCTTGGGCTGTTTCTTTACAATGTGATAAACAGAACATTAAATTTATATCCTCCCAACCGCAAATGCAGTAAAATCACTGTTGACAACTGACTGAAAAAATTGAATTATGAAGACACAGAAAAAATGATAAAACCCACAATAAACCAGTAATTACACATTACACAACCGTACACATCCTTTCACACCCACTCACTCACTCACATCAAATATACAAAGAAAACTCACGTTCATACTAAATATAGTATTAAGTAAATGTTAATTGGATCTGCTAACAATGTAATAAAAACTTATTCAGTGTTTCAGCTAATATTATATTGGAAGAGCACTGTTGCCTGAGATACAGGTGTTAAGCCTTGTTCAGGTACAGATGCAGAATTTTAATTACTCGTAGATATAATTATCCTACTGAATGAAGATATTATAATATAAACATATTATATTGTTGTTGTTGTGTTTTCACTGGCTAGTTAACAATTTTGAATTATTCCTAAATGCCGGGATGTTAGATTTTTTTTCATTTTTTAATTCTTTATGCACAAGGATAAGTTGAATAATGGTGGACTTAATGTCACAGGCATTTTCTGCCAGTCTACCTTAGGGTGGTGCAGAAATGTGTGACTAGGTGCACTAGACAGTGATATGTAAAGTAAAAGAAAACTATTGATAAGTTAGACAGAAACAATGCGATATTTATCGCATTGTTTCTGTCTAACTTATCAATAATTTATTTATACAAACATACATACGTACCAAATACATACACATGCATAAATACATACCTAGCCACATACATACAGGACCTACATATAAAAATAAGCTACTAGTTATTAAATTTTAATAAGCTGCTTCTTTCTACTGACAATAAACGTGATTTTTTAAGGAAAATGAGACTAAAAAGTCACTTTTATTTCACTCACTTGTATCTTTAATTTTAGTTTTGGCTACGTTAGAGATAGGCCATTCTCTAAATTTAAACCATATCTCACAGAAAAAATATAACTTAAGGTGTATTTAGACTACACGCGACGTTACAAGCCAATACTATTACAAAATTACCTATTCTTCTCCTAGTACTTTAAAATTTCTTATATCCCTGTGACTCACAAAGTAGTTGTTTTAGGTCATATCAATCGTCACTACAGAGGACAGAGGTTGATCTTACTTATCTCGATTACCGAACCCAATAACACAATGTCGATTAACGGGCTTGAATTGTTCTTAAATCCTTTCTTTTATTTCTCTGGTTACACGGTCAAAGAGATAACCCTATGTATCAAATTCAGGTGTTTACAGTTTAATCAAACCAGCAGACACATTATCTTAATAATCCTTGATTGACTTTTACATGTGATCTTCATTAATAACCAATTCTCTTCAGACTTTTTAGTTTCCGAAATCTTCTCACTAGTTTAGCAGTTCGGTTTAAGTGATATGTTTTACCTGGCATTACAAATTATATATATACCATTTTAGACTTATATATTTTCTCCTCTCTCTTCCTTTCTAAATCCACGTGCTCACATAATTTGCTATCCAAATTCATTTTAGGGATATAATATATGCTTTATCTATAATCCCATGATCTGGTTTTAGGCCAGGATATAGCTTTAATTCCTCAAAGTGACGAAAGATATTATTATTACTAACCCCGAAATTT